ATAATGAAAAAAGAATATATATATATATATATATCATTTATAAAATAAAAATAAAAAAAAAGGTTAGGAATGGGTTCAATTTATAGTACATCATTTATAGGTGAAAATTTTATTTTTGGTGTAGTAAGGATTTGGCTTAATTTGGCACAAATCTTGATGTATATTTATATTAAAAAATTTTAAAATTTAATTTAAGAGTTGTTGCGAACTAGAATATACGCTGCGGTAGACTTTATGAATTCGCGTCCGAGCGTTGCACGAATATTCAGTTCACAAAGAGTAAAGAGAATGAACACCAAGGTTTTTACGTGGAAAACCCAAAAGAGGGGAAAAACCACGGGGCCTCGCCTAGTTGTAAAGTTTCACTAGTATTTGTTTGAAGTACAAATATCGATTCATCTTACAAGTCAAGACGATCGATTTACAATCAGTTTTTCCCAAAGTTACAAAGTTCTGCAAATTCCCGGCGATTCTCGAAAATCCGGCAGAGTTCCGACGTCTTCAGGCGGCGGGAAGAACTCTGGCGGTGGAGGAGCTTCTTCCTTTTCCTCCTTCTTCTCTCTCTTCACTCGAGTCCCCCTTTGTGAAGAATGAGGGCTCTATTTATAGTTTTTCTGGGGTGGCGTGGCTCGTAAATAGGTGTGAGATTATGGGTGAATAGGGAGTGGTTCGAATGGACGGCCGATATTGAACCCTTCGATCGTGCACCGTTCGTTGGGCATTTGGAGTCCTTAATGATGTCGGAATTCGGCGATCTTGGGCTCGTTGGATTCTTCTCGTCGAGCCGTTTGATTCGAGTATAAGCTCGTCAAAATCGGAGACCGTTTGGTAACTCAAATTGCGGTTTGAACCTTCCAACTGCGCTTCGGGTCCTTAATTCGGACTCATTTGGACTCGGATTGAGTTGAATTTGGTGTCGTTGGGTTCGTATTTCCAAGACGCTCATTTTGACTGTAAGCTCGCTGAAATCGGAGTATTCGCCGCAGTAGAAAAATATAATATTTAACATCTTAACTTTGCACGAAAATCTGGCACGCAATCAGATAAGAGAGAGGGTGTAGCATTTACTAGAGACACCAAGATTTTTACGTGGAAAACCCTTGAAAAGGGGGAAAAACCACGGGGCCTATCCTAGTTTGAATGAATCCACTATTATTTGCAGTTGATTATAAATGAGACCCTTCCTTGGGGAAAGGCCTTAGCTTGATGTACATCTTATAGAGCACATTACTTAATGAGAATACAAAGAATCATTGCTTCTGTATTTGTTTGATCTGAAGGACTGTAGTTGGTGGGCAACATAAGTCGGAAGGACCAAAATCGGTGGACGACAGAGGTCGAAAGGACTGTAGTCGGTGGGCGACGTAAGTCAGAAGGACCGTAGTCGACAGGTGATGGAGGTCAGAAGGACTATAGTCGGTGGGCGACGTAAGTCAGGAAGAGCGTAGTCGGCGGGCGACGGAGGTCGGAAGGACTATAGTCGGTGGGCGACGTAAGTCAGAAAGATCGTAGTCGGCGGGAGATAGAGGTCCGTCAGAAGGACTGTAGTTGGTGGGTGACGTAAGTTAGAAGGATCGTAGTCGGCGGGTGACGGAGGTCGGAAGGACTGTAGTCGATGGGCGACGTAAGTCAGAAGGACCGTAGTCGGCGTGCGATAGAGGTTGGAAGGACTGTAGTCGGTGGACGACGTAAGTCAGAAGGACGATAGTCAGCGGGCGATGGAGGTCGAAAGGACTGTAGTTGGTGGGCGACGTAAGTCAAAATGATCGTAGTCGGTGGGCGACGGAGGTCGAAAGGACTGTAGTCGGTGGGCGACGTAAGTCAGAAGGACCATAGTCGGCGGGCGACGGAGGTCGAAAGGACTATAGTCGGTTGGCGATGTAAGTCAGAAGGACCGTAGTCAGTGGGCAACGGAGGTTGGAAGAACTGTAGTCGGTGGGTGATGTAAGTTAGAAGGATCGTAGTCGCCGGGCGACAGAGGTCAGAAGGACTATAGTCGGTGGGCGATGTAAGTCAGAAGGACCGTAGTCGGCGTGCGACGGAGGTTAGAAGGACTGTAGTCGGTGGGCAACGTAAGTTAGAAGAACCATAGTAGACGGACGACGGAGGTCGGAATAGCCGTAGTCTGATGACGAAGGTCAGAAAGATGGCGTAAGGTAGAAATCCAACAATGGACAAAAATCCAGCATTAGATAGATGTCTGGCGAAAGTCCGACAATTGACAGAAGTCTGATGTCAGGTAGAAACTTGGCGACGAGCGGAGGTCCGGCTTCGGTTAGAAGTTTGACGTTAGTTGGCGGGCGAGGAGAACTCCGGAGTTAGATGGTATTTGAGCAAAACTCTGACGTCACTTGGAGGTCGGGCGGAATTCCGGCGTCACTTAAAGGTCGGGCGGAATTCTGACAGTGGTCGAGGAGGAGTTTCTTCCCTCCTATTCTTCTTCTCTTCTCCTCCTCTTCCTTCTCTTGCTTGGCCCCCCTCAAGAGAAATGAGTGATGTATTCATAGATTTCTGGAGTGGCATGACCCGTAAATAGGTGAGAGATCAGGGATAAATGGGGAGTGGTTGGATGGACGACCAATATTGAATCCCTTGATCGTGTATCGTTCGTCATATATTTGAAGGTCTTAATGATGTTGGCATTTGGGGATCTTGAGCTCATTATATTTGTCTCGTCGAGCTGCTCAAATCGACTATAAGGACGTTATGTTTGGAAACCATTTGGTAACCCAAATTGCAGTTCGAACTTTCCAACAATGCTTTAGGTCTTCGATTCGGACTCATTTGAGCTCAGATCGAGATGATTTTTGTTTTGTTGGGTTTGTATTTCTGAGACGTTTAGTTCGACCGTAAGTTTGATGAAATCAGGTTCAGATGATCCCGAATTTAATTTTTGAAGTTTCTAACTTGATTTTTGCCTTGAGATTCGTGCCCGGTCAAGATAATTTTTTTGATGACCTATCACATATAAACACTTGAATGTATCTATAATTCATTACTCAAAGGTATGTACGTACATTAAGGGAACAAAATCTAAACTAGATAAGAACCGTACTTAGCGAACCGTTCCCTCCGAGCAGCGGCGCTGGTCAAATCTGAATTCGATAGCATAGAGCGGCTGAAGCTGTAGGATTAACGAGCAGGAGGAGCTTCTTCATCGCAGCAAGACGAGAAACACACGGCCGGCACCAGGGAAGGAGAATGGCGACGGTAGCAGCCACCACCGCCGCAACAATTCTCTCGAGGGGGCGGGTGAGGGCTTCGTGGGACACCAATCCGAGCCCGAAACCTCTCAAAATACCAAAATTCCCCAAGCCCTCTCCCTCCTTCCCCGCTCCGTCGCTCCCGGTGACCGCCGCCGTTGCAGAGAAGCCAAAGGAGCTTCACCTATCGGATTTCTTCAATTCCGGTCGAAATCGCGCCCAAATAGGTCTTGTTTGTTATCAATCCCTTTTCCTTTTGGCTCAATCTTCCTCTAATTTTTCGATCATTATAGCTTTGTTCTACTTTAGGGTTGTTTATACAGAGCAATTTTCTCTCATTTTCTTAATTCAAGTTCCGGATAAATAGCTTTGGACAGGGACGGTGAAGTAACATTGTTATCATTCTAGTCCCGAAACACTGAAGCACATAAACAGTCAAATAAACAAAGAGAGTTATGTTCCCCTAACGGAAAAACAATGGGGTTTAGTTGGACAATAAACTTCCATTATAAACATTAGAAATTAACATTTTGTTTTTGGAGAATTAAGAGCTTAGGTTCAAATATATTGAAAACCCAAAGAATTCACAGAAGGTGAGCCCAAAAGGAGAAAAAAATAGGAAAATTAAAATTGGCCAAAGCTCCTCGCCATAAAGCTTGAACAGAAAAAGAAAAATGTAGAAGGAAAAAGTTTTGAAGTGTCTTGGGGAAAAGGCAGGACTTGCAAAAAGAATACCCGAACAACTCAGGAAAAAAAAAAGATTTGAAGATCAAGAATCGTGTCACTAATCTCAAAAGTAGCAAAAGAATTTGAAACCAGCAAAATAGAGTGTGTAAATAGCCACAAGATTCAAGACCAATCTAAATTAAAAACATCTAGCAACCCCTATCACGCATATAATCTTCCCAATTAACTATAGAAATTACTTTCCCAATCAATTGCTAAAAAAGATTACTATCTCCTCATTCTAAGATCTATAATTCTCCCAATTTTGACTTGTCATTTTATATGTTGAATCAGTCAATCAGACATTCAGGATCCAAAAAAATAGCTTCATGAATTCTATAATTTCTCTCCTTCCAAATCTTGCTAATGAGGAGACCAACAATTAATGGATATAGCTTGCAAATTATAGGATTATTATTATTGCACCCTTTAACGTAGTGAATGACTTGCATAAAAGAGGCATACAAAAATGCAAAATGAAGAACGGCTACATGGGCGAAGTGCACTCAAAGAAAATGTGATTGTTGTGTTCCTTTGACTGTGAATGGAGAATGCAATGGTTTTGGACATTTATCCCTCTCTGAGTAGTTTTGAAACTATCAAGACAAGTTTTCCAATGAATACTTTATTAAACAAACCAACTTCTACCAATTAAAATTTTGAGTACTACAAAATAAATGGTTATTTGCATTAGTAGGTGAAAACAACCCTCACCCTTCCAGCAAAGTTTGTCTTCACCTTCGTCAATTAGAAATTTATTAATTTTATTTAGGCAATCATGAAAGTATTGTAAAGCCTCAAGCTGGCTCCGATGACCTTCAAAAATAATCTCAAGGAAAAGAGAATTAGGCAGTAAATTTAAAACAATGAGGGCCACATCTCCAATTAACTCCAGAATAGAGAAATCGCCAATCCAATTGTCAAAAAAGTGAGAAATACTCTTACCATAACCCAGGCATAGGAATGTTTCTTTTAAAAATATTAGCATAAGGCTTGAGAGCTTTCTAGTTGATAGAGGAGGTTTTGGGATAAGTCCTTAAAAAAAGCCGTAAGAGCATTTTCGCCAAGATGTGAGTTGAGAGTTATTTGTTAGGAATTTCAATCTCTTTTTCATTTTGCATGATGTGTTGAGGTAAGAAGGGGAAAAAGTAGCTTATTCCAAGGGATAATTTAGAATTTTATTATGACATCATTGTCACAGAGGAATTAACTAATCAAGCTATAAACTTTTTTGATAGTTGCATTATGAATATAAGTAGACTTATACCACTAAGTGAGATAATTGTTTTCAGAAGCATCCAGTAGAAAAAAGTTTGAAGTTTTTAATAGCAAAAGGATCCATCAAAATATCATGGGATGTTTTAGTCTGCACCAAAAAGATAAAATCTACAATATAAGTATTAAATAGGTTTTTGCACTCATTGATCCAACTATTTCCCCGAATATCTCATATTCTAAGATACTAGTGTTGCATGTGACATTGGAAATAAATTTAACATTTTATCCTCTTGCTATTAGAAATAGGGTACACTTGGTGACTGCTCCTAGGATTGATAAACATAGTTTGAAGATATTGGGGTAGATGTGCGGGGCTTGGATTTTGATTAGGTCATAAGTTGAGATCCATAGAGGAAAGACATTTCTAAGACTTAGAGCGGGGGGATATCTTCTTGAGGAACAAAGAAGGTCGGAGGTGTATTCATTTGATGTTGGCTACATCTCCTTCCCTAAGAAAACCATACTATAGAGAGTTTTTAATGGACCCCTAAATAAATTTAGGACAAGAATGAGCATCATGGGTGAAAGTATTGCAAGAGAAATAGGTTGAAGGCATCCTTCATACACATTGTATAGTTTTAGAGATGTAATGCATAGAGGATTGCAACAAAGAAGATAGTTTCACATGAAGGCATAATCTTGCAAATGTTACACTTGCCTTTGTGGTAGTAGGATTTCTCTATAGTGAGGGGAATCCATACTTGATTTTGCACCTTGGAAATTCCCCAAGGAGCCCAACAACATAAGGAAAATCAGGCAACTCAGGAATTTCTTCAAAATCATTTCCAATCAAGTTAAAATTCCAAGTCCACCTTTTGAGGATAAATGGTTTCCCATTGATAAACCGTAGTCCTCCAAACCATACAATATCAAGATCCACTTTTAGAAGAATTGAAATAAGGAGAAGCCATTAGGGAATGTAAGAAGTTCAAGAGTATCTTGAAGGTTTCATAATATTTTCATAGTGGCAAGAATAGATCCATAGTAAGGCTTCTTCTTTAAGTGAATTCCATGTCCTTGGCCTTAGCGTCCACATCCTCAGTAAAGAAGGAGATCTCATCACTGAAGTTTTGCATGAGTGTTAGTTTGAACTTGTAGGATTTGGCATTTTGAGAGTTTAAGATACCCTTCAAATTAAAATTTGGCCAAAATAATACATAGGTGTAACATACAAAACATAGGGAGGCATGGGAAAATATGATATGGCTTACATGTAGCATCAGAAGAGGGTAGAGAAGGGGGTTATGATTCAACCAATAGTGAGCCATCGACAGTAGAGAGAACTTATACAATTGTTTCTTGGACAATGGAGTTTTGTGAAGCTTAGGGTAGTGTGATAATGCAAAAGAGTAGTAGGCGGAGAATGAAGTCGAATCAAGTTCAATGGCCTTGGCTGGGGATAACTTAAGAAAAATTAGCAAGGGTAGAGGAAGGGGAGAGCAGCCACAAGAGGGAATATAATCCTAAGAGTGGGGCCTTTGGAGTTAACCTTATTTACAAATTTTGTCTCCCAAAAAATTTTATAGGATATTAAAAATTAGTTTTCTAGTAAGATGATAGATTGATTGTGACCATGTTGTGGTGGCTTGTGATGTGACATTCCTTGAGATGGAGCTGGAAGTTGTGGTGGATGAGGTTTGATAGATTTGAGCGTCGATGAGAGAGATCATGATTTTAACTAATTTTCTTTTCATTTTTTATTTGGAATGATGAAAGTCTTAGCTAAATTTTTTTTTATTTTTTTCTAGCAAAAGGGCATCCATTCTAGAATATCTCAATCTATAAATTCTCGTGTTTTATTCCTACCAGATAATATAAATAATTTGCATGATTAACAGATAAAGTCTCTCAACAATAAATTGAGAATGATTAGAACAACAATCTGAAACTTAAAACAAAAAAGCATTTACCTTCAAAAATAGGATTCATAGCAAGGCATATAGCATACTAACAACCATAAAATAAATGGTTGAGGCTTTCTAATTCCATTTTGCTTAACTCTCTATGTGATTGATTCTGTTATGATGGCTTTGTTGTATAATAATGTTGCTCACATAGTTCATATATGGATTCCTTTTTTTTTTTAACTTTGAATTTGATGCTCCCGTATACTTCCAATGAATGAGTATTGCAGTGTGTATTTCAATCAAGAAATGTATTATAATATTATTTTTTAGTGAGAAGTTATTGTGGTTTAGATATATGTGGAAATAGATAAATCTTGTTATGTAACATTCATATCGCTCGAACAAACTAATTAGATGCTTTTCAACTACCTAACATTGCACAAGGAATCCTGAATTTGATGTTTGTGGTCAATACTAGCACTATCATGGCATGATTTATGTTTTTTATTTTATTTATTTATTTCAGCACTCAACTTTCAATTAGACGTTGATATTTTGTGAGGTACGTAGCACAAAATTTTATGCTTTAGGAACAGCTGGTAGCTTGATGGGGACATCAGTTGGAAAGTCTACCGTCGACGTGGCCGTAGATCTACGGCCACGATTTACCCGATGTATTTCTGATTTTAGTATGATCATTTTATTTTGATGTATTTTTATTTCTGCATTTTTCCCTTTTTACCCTTGCTTGAGGGATTGAGTCTTGTAGCCCCTCGAGGGTATTTTAGTCTTTTATTTTATGTCATTGTATTAGGCTATTTATAGCCTTCTTCTTGTACTTTTGATGGTTAATGAATGGTAATGAAAATTTTCCTGCATTTTCTTCTTGGAGCTTTTGTGAGAGCTTGAGAGAGAGAGAGAGTTTGTGAATTTGGTGGAGCCTAGGAGAGGCCACCTGGCGTACCCAACAGTCCCCTGGTGGCTCTTGGTTTATCTCCCCTTCTCTATTTTCGTCTACCCACATCCACCGCCGACCACCCCTTCCACCAACAACCACTTCATAACCGCCCCTAGCCAAACCTCACCACCTCCCAAGATCCATCGCCCCCTCATCCCGTCGGCATCACCTTGACCGCCGGCTCCCCTTGTTGTTTTCCTCACCATCTTCCTCTACACCAATTGTTAGTCCCCTTATTGCTTCTCCACAAATTTCAAATTCTGAAATTCAAAGTGGAAGTTTCCAAATTTGCCCGCTGCCAAATTAGGAAAGTTTTCAATGAGATTTCAAATTTCAAATTTTGAATTTGGGCGGATTTGAGATTCTCATAATTAATTTGGCAAAGCGAATTAGGAAACACATAACTCCTTTTCCCTCA